CCCCCCGCCACAGCCCAGGTGCCCGTGGCAGCAGCAGGGCTGGGGTGCTGCGCAGGCGGGGTGGTGGGGAGTGTGCTGGGAGGAGATGCCTGCCCCACTTATCCTGCTGCCTCTTGGCTCCCTGAGCTTTGGAGGCATCTCTCCCTTTCTCCATGCCCAGCACTGGCCAGCAGGCAGGAGTTTGCCATGTGCCAAGGGACATGTAGTGCTGAGCCCACTCCATTGTGTGACCCTCTCTAGTAATGAACCTAGGAGTGAATGAGGAACTGTCCTCAAGCCAGCTGGGAAACACCGTTCTGAGCTGGTGACTGAGTTGGGGAAGGTTTGAACTGCTGGAGCTGGATATGTTGCTTTTGCATCTTTTTAAGTCAGAAACCTAGAAGTATGAGGAAGAGCCAAGTCGCTTGCTGAAACCTCTCATGCTGCAGCAAACAGCTGTGGTAAACATCTTCAAAAAGCAGTGGGGTGTCTGGTGGTGCAGGCAAGGCTTTGAGGACACATCTGACTTACTGGTGTGGTTGGAGGAAAGCTGAGCTGTTGCTTAGGAGAAACAAGTGTGCATATGTTGTTAAAGCATCCTGTTCTGAGACCCCACTTTTGATCTTGAAGATCAAAGCCTGCATGTTGGGGTTGCTTCCTTCAGCCACAAAGGAGACAAATCTGCAGTTTGTTCTTGTGTTAAGCATTTTCTTTTTTTCAAAAAAACCCCCACCCTACCCCGTACAAATGCACACTTCCACATAGGTCTGTGAAATGAAAGAGGAAACTGTTTATATCATTTGCGCGCATATATAAACCTGTGGGAAAATCTCATTGGCCACCACTTAGAAATCTGTGGTCAATGAGGAATGGAAATTGAGAAACTGGAAACTGAGGAATGGAAATGTCCCGGTCTCTCCTCATTATACTTTTATAATGAGCTTTTCTAAGTGCTGGTGCCTGCAGCATGGACTGAATCACAGGCAGGGGTTGGAAGGGACCTCGAAAGATCATCTAATCCAACCTCCCTGCCAGAGCAGAGTCACCTAGAGTAGATCACACAGGAATGCATCCAGGAGCGTCCAGATCTTTTTTTGGAAAGCAAGAGAAATTGTACTAAGATGAGTAGCACAGTGGCTACCTTAAGCTTTAATCACAAGTTACTCAGACAAGTTAGGGTCCTGCTGCAGCGCTCAGCATTGACCTGAAGACATGATAAAAGAGGCCTTTCCTCTCTGAGTTCTTTTCCGGTTAGAAGATGACTGTGGAGATAGTATTTGCAAAGAGGGGGGTAGTAGAAGATGCCAGAAGAGCCCACTTGTGCCCCAAGGCACTGCATGTTTCCCGTGTTGCAGCACGCTGCTGATTCAACCTGAGCAGTGCCCCGCAGTGATTTGGTGTGGGTCAAGGCAGCCCCCTGAGCTGGCTCTGCTTGGGCTGTTAGCGCTGTGGCAGCTCCGCTGTGGCTGCACCACGGGAGATGTCTTCCTCACCTAGGCTGGGTTTTATCACTGTGGCAAAGGTGCCTGTGACTGGTGTTCTGTGATTCAGGAACTGTGCCCTAAGGAGCAGTTAAAGAAAAGGCAGGATGCACAACTGGCAGCGATAAGTAATTTGTCTTGTGTGAAATTGAGTCCCCAGCACCCACAGCTGCGCTTCAGATCAGGTCTTCACCCTTCTGCTGAGGGCAGGAGTCCTCAGCTCTGCCTCTCCCCTCTTGTGCAGGATGCCAGAGGATTCCTTTCGCTCTGCTTGTGGTCCAGGACACCGCAGTGGAAAAGTAACTGCCTCTGCCTGAGTGGGCTGCTGGAAAGGGTGGTTGGCGAGTGGGTGTGCGCTGGGCTGATTACTCAGCCCCCGATGGCAGTGCAGCCCTCAGTGCAGCCACGCGGTTTTGTGCGAGCAGAATCTGCCACCGCGCTGGTCCCGCTTCGTGTGCGTGCTGCCTCGATGTGGGAGGAGCAGGCGGGTGCCCCGAACTTGCAGCCGAGGGCGGAAACTCTTTGGGGTTTGCTGTTAATGCTTGAGGTTTTCATAAAGTTGCAGCATCAGAGTTGGGTGTTGAGCGATGCAGGCGTATAAAGGCAGAGCTGGGTCTTCCCCCAGGGCTCAGTCTGGGACAGCCCTGTCAGTTTTTGGCTGCCACATGGAAGATCGTGTCCAGCCCATCTCGCTCCCAGCCATGCAGCAGAACTTGAATTACGTGTACCCCCAGATCTTTTGGGTGGATGACTGTGCCAATGCAAATACTTCCTGCCCCTCGGCACCCCCTGTCGCTCCTTTCCCACCACCAGTGCCTGACCGGAGGAAAAAGCCAAGGAACAACAGTGAAAGGAGGAGTGTCGGCTTCCTGGTGGTCTCCTTGCTGATCCTGCTGGCCCTCACCGGAGTAGGACTGAGCATGTTTCAGATTTTCCGCCTGGAGAAGGAACTGGCTGAACTCAGAGAGGTGAGGTCTATCTGTCTGGTCACAGATGCTCTGGGGAAACAGGATTTAAAAATAAATAAATAAATAAAATAATTGGATCTGAAATGCTCAGGTAGTGTGAAGTTCCCCAAGGGACAGGCTGGTGACATGTAAATGTCTGCCATGCCAGTGTAAGTGGGGTGGCTGTTACTGGGGGAGACTGCTTTACTGGATGTCTTGGTTTCTGAGTGCTGCAAGGTCTCACTGCTTGCATATTTCTTAGTACTCTGCACCTCTCTTTGAGCATCCAGAATTAGTCACTGTCAAAGGTAGTCCTTGGCTGCTTTAGATGATGCCCTTACACTGCTAAGACAGCTCATTGCTCTTCTCTTTTGACAGTCTGCCAGTACTGAGCACATCCCTCCAGCCTTGGAGAAGCTCATAGGTGAGTTGATGTACATAGAGGAACTCCTCTGTGTTAGCCTGTGTGAATGCTCCTGTCAAACTCTTCAGGGGGCAAAGGCAGGGTCGCAGCTCAATGTTCTGAAAGTGCCCATTTCAGTTGCTTGGCTGGAAAAAGAGCTTTATCCCGGGGGTGCGGGGATGGGGTCGTGCGCCCTGCCCACCACAGTGCTTAGAGGTGGCAACTGCAGGTTCCTGGGACAGTGAGCCTCTGCCTCAGGGGCTCCCGGGCCCGGCGGGGGGACAGGACAACACTGGGGGGACTCTGCTGTAAAAGCGAGTTTCTGGCTGTCCTTACATACAGCAACAATGTGAACGGGGCCAGTAACGCCACACGTGTTACTTATTGCACCCCTTACTCTTTTGTAATTTTGAGAGGATGCAGAGGGTTTCATTTACTTTAGGGATGGGGGATTCAATCCCACCCTTGAGAGCACAACTTATTTTTGTCCTCAAGTCTTAGGGTACAGAGTTGCACTACAGCCAAAGCTGGTTGAGAGGAGCCTGATTATATGTGGGGGAGTCTTTTTGTTGTTTTTTTTTAAAATACTTTTAGAAATGTTATTTCAGTGAAATTGAAACTTTCCACAAGAACCTGCCAATTTTTCTGAATTTTATCTAAGAAAAAAACCACAGAGTTTCAATATGAATGGAACAATTTAAAAATCACATTTTGAGCTTCCAAAGTATTTTAGATTCCATGCTAATGTTATCAGGAGGATATCACTTTTTTAAAGATGGCCCAGCCAGAGTTTTTCAGCTCTCTTGACAATTCTGAAAAATCTGAAAAGATTTTTTTATTATATTTTTTTACCCCTGAGGATTTGGGTTAGTAGGAAAGTTATTTAATTTTCAAGCTTGTACTGATACTGAATGAAAGCAAAATTCTCTGGAAAGGGCAGTCCTGGTTCCCATCAGCCCTCATATCAATAAATTTTGCAATCTATTGCTTAGAGGAAGAGGAGCTGCCATTTTAACTGGATGCTCAGCGCTCTGATCACAGGCTACTCTAGCAGTAGCTGAACATAAGTCATGAATAGTAAGCTTGAATTTCTTGAGGAGGATGGATAAATAAATAAAGCCAGGAGAAGGGAGAGAGGAGAGGAAAATTTAATTCACTTGAGAAAAGAAAAAGCTGCTTCTAAAATTTGTGAACATGATGCTTGGAAATAGATGCTGAGAAGGGAAGGATGGCGGAGAATGGGATCTAGATATGAAGTCACTCTGACTGGCTCATCTCTCCAAGAAGAACTGAGCCCTCCCGGGAAGGCAAAAGTTTCCCGGGTGTGCTCTGTCTTTCTGAGGATGAGGTCTGCCTGGCCAGCAGGATGGTTTTGCAAGATGTCTCAAGTGTCTTCTCTGATCTAGTTGTAAGGACGGCAATCAGAAGTCCACTGCCGTGGGTACAATTGCCCTTGGTAGTGCTGCAAAATAGAAGAGGCTCATCTACGACAGGACACAAGCAGTCACCTTGGCATGGGCCAGAGATGCTGGGTGAAGGGGCAGTGTTGTCTCCCTCACTGCCTTGAGCGAGAGGTTTTGTGGTTGGTTCCCTTCTGCTCTCTGGGCTGGCTTTTCCCTGGAGCATGTCTAATCTCTTCTCTGGTTTTTGTGCAGGGCAGAAGGAGCAGTCAATGAAAAAGGAAGCAAGGAAGGCAGCACACTTAACAGGTATGTGCTGAAGGGCCAGCAAGATGTGGCAGCAGGGGATAAGGCAGGCGTGGCTGGGGTGGTGTGGTGGGGTCGTGGTTGTGAGGAGCCCACCTGACACAGGCTTTCCTATTTTCCTTTATAGCACGTGTGCTCTGACAGCTGGAAGTTACTTCACAGCTCAAATCTTCCCCTCATTCAGGCTTTTCTTTGTTTCTTGGTTTGATTTTTGGTTTCCATCTGGTGTGTGTGGGGCAGAAGGCTGTTACAAATGACTGGTATTGAGCAAGGTGAAGGTGAGAGCTCCCACCAGCATGAGAACAGCGCAGACTTTCCGTGCTGCAGACAAGGACTCAGAGAACAGCTGAGTTGTTGAGATGTGGGGTGTAACTTGAGGAGAAAACACACAGCTGCTTGTACTTACTGCGCTTTCTCCTGTTTTGGCTTTCCAGGGAACCCAGCCCAGCGGGACCTCCCTCTGGAGTGGGAACCCATCTCCGGCCATGCCTTCACCAACGGCATTCAGTACCGTGATCAGGGCCTCGTCATCAACGAGACCGGCTTGTACTTTGTGTACTCCAACGTGCTCTTCCGTGGCAGCATCTGCAGCAGCCAAGTGTTGACCCACATTGTCTACAAGAAAAACCCAACCTCGCTGGGCAGCCACGTGCTGATGGAAGACAAAGGCATCAACTACTGCACGAGTCAGAAAACATGGGCCCGGAAAAGCTACCTGGGGGCTTTATTCAAGCTCAGGAAAATGGACAGTTTGCATGTCAACGTCTCCAAAATTGCCCTGGTTAATTTTGAGGAATCTAAGACATTCTTTGGTTTATTTAAGCTTTGAATGGGGCTGTTGGAGCATGGCTGGCATCCATACTAGGATGCGTGAGGGGCGAGCACTGCTTGAGCAGCAGTGGCCAAGCCAGGGTCTCACACCATGAAGCCCACCATGAGAGGGCTCAAGCATCTGCTAAAGTCTTGAAAGTGGAGCTCTGGGAAGTACCAGAGCTGTACTGTGTCAACCTGAGGAGAATCACACATTTTCACCTGTGGAAAAACACAGAAATATAGTGTGCTGAAGACCCTGTTGAAACTCACTACTTGCCACCTGAGAAAGGCACTGGTGCCAGTGGCCCCACTGGCGTCATAGCCCTGATGAGCTTGGACCAGCAGACACGTGGGGACAACCAGTGGATGTTGAGCCCAGGCTGTGGGTACCTGGGCTGTAATGTGACACACCACAGGCAGTGGTGTGGGAATGAGTAGCATGGAGGCCTCAACGGGATGCCCTGAGCCATGGCTGGTCACCCTGCCTGGGCACTTGCTCTATGACTGCTGTGTGACAGGCACCTGCCTGCTGGCTGGCTCGTTATGCATATGTTCATTCTCTGTTAAGTTATCAACCATTGCAGAAAGTGTCCCCCAACCCCTTTATTTAACTCATCCTGACTGTCTTGCAAGGAATGTGCCAGAAGCAGTGGTGCCATGAAGGTGGTCCCAACCTTGGAGAGAAACCATGACCACACCAGGATGGTGGGACTGGTGGGGAGGCCACGTGCTCTGCTGACGGGACCTGAAACAGCACAGTGCTGAAAGGCAGTGGGACTCGAGATGATAGCAGCATCTCCAAGCCCCTTCCTGCCCTTTGGACAATCAGAGTCCCCCATGAAGACCTGGTCCTGCCACGCCCTGCACAGTGTGGGTGGGACCACTATCAATGGCATGGCTTTGGCTGATCCCCTCCTCACAGGATATTCTGAGCAAAATACAGATGGTAAATAAAGTATATTTTTCTAGTAAGTAGCACTGTCCTCTCATTTGAAGCAGCAGTGGCCAAAGGGCTGAAGCCCTCTGTGATCAGAAGCCAGCAGCATGGCTTGATCCCACTTTGCTGCCTGCTTGGTGGGGCCCAGGATCTCCACCATGGAGCTTTGGGACTCCAACACTGAAACATTAGAGTCTGGAGACTGGGGGTTTGTGATGTGAGCGGCACAGACCAGGCAGCCCAAGCTCAGTTTGGCCATCAGGAAGCCGACTGGTCTCCAAACACAGGCTTGAGCTTGAGTGGAGCCAGACTCTTGTTGCTGAGCAGAAGCACTGCTGGCTCTAAAGGCACCATGCTCCTCTGGGTGCCCCCTGGCCCCAGCAGCAGCTCCCACATGGCAGTCTGAAGGGCAAGGAGTGAAAGCGGTGCTCTGGCGTTGAAAAAAAAACCCACTTATTTTCTCACTCTAGTGTCTGTCTTAGAGCTCTTTCCTTTCATGGGTTAACCCTGGGGCTGTCTGTCCAGGTGCCACGAAGCAGTACAGAAAGGCTGGGGCTGTGGTGCATCGCTATCTTTGCCTGTGGTCCAGCTTTCTTGCAGCTCTGACGTTGTTCACGACGGTTCTCGGGCAGCCTGCAGCGTTTCTTTCCTTTTCCTGGTGCTGCTCTTGGCTTGATGGTGTGTGGCCTGTGGTTTGCTGTTGCTTGCATCAGGGAAACCTGTTTCTTCAAAACTCAGAAGTGGACTGGCTGGACTGGTGCAGCCAGTTTGAAGTGAACACTGCGCCCCTCTGCTTGCAAAGCTGTTACTGTGCTCAGGTATTTCCGCTGCACTTCAGGATGGAAAATGCCTCCAAAGGTCATTGTTGAGGGACTTTTTTGCTTGATTGATGCTTTCTCACTGTCCTCACCCCCTCCCTAGTATCAGAGGGCAAACCATGTAGTGCAGGGATGGAGGTGCTGGACCCAGACCCTGCCAGGAAAGGCTGGGAAGTGCTATCCTCTTCCGACTGCTGTTTGGGCTGCGTTGTTTTGCTAGTGACCAGGCATTCGAGTGCGGAGTGGGTGTCTGTATGTGCACATGCCTGCAAGCTTGCAGCTATTTCTGTAGCCAAACTAGCCGAGCACGTTGTATGCTTCCTTTCTTTACTGGCAAGCAGCTTGGAGAGAGACAGGGCATTCGGTGCCCAGAGGAAACTCACGCTGAGGTTATATTCCCTGTTAGAATCAGATCGGTGAAGGGCTGAAAAGCTCCCAAAGGTTTCTGTAAGCCAGCACCAGTAACACATCTCAACTGCGAGGGCAGTCAGCTCCGGGGCAGGATGTGGCCGTTGCCTTCGCTGTGCATCAGGAGGGGGCAAGGACCCGTTGGCTGTTTTATCTGAAATGCTAAAGGCAACGCAAACCTGCACATTTTAGAGACAGTGGTACAGCAGTGTGGACAGACATGTTATAAATAGTGCTGGGATCTCCTGAGGTGGACAGAGCTGGCTTATCCTTGCAGGATAAAATGAGATGCTGCTGGGCTTCCTTGTGAGTCGGAGAGCGGCTGCGACTGTGTTGAGTCAGTGGCACGGTTGCAAGACACGTGTTTCTGCTTTGTGATCCCTTCCTCAGATACTGCTCTAAGCTGCCCAAGAGCAAATCTACTACTTGGCTTGTGGGCTCTGACTAAAGATTCGAAGTAAGGTCATGAGAGGATTATGCAATATCAAACTGCGTAGAGTCAATTCATAGACTGCTTGTGCCACAATGGCTTTAATAAAGTAATCTGTTCAGCTAATGAGCTGTTCATCTAGTAAAATACCATTAAATGCTGAATGAATATTTAATGCTGACATTAATACCTCTTGGATTATATTTAAAATTATTTAATAAAAGTATTCAAATTATTGAAATTCATTATGAATTTATCAAGTATTTTGTTCCCATGACAGATGAGTGGTTTAGATCACTGAAAGAGTTACTGTTAAAGGAGGTATGTGAATTTGTAAAAGTCTGACTTAAAGTTCACTGTTACTATGTGGAAGAAAGATACAAAGGAAAATTGAGTTATAATCAATTTAGAATAATTTACACAGAAATCAAAGACACAAAAGCGTAAGAGAGACCCCCTCAGTGAGTCATGATGTTCGGAGTGGACCCCCTTGCTTTCTAAACTCCTGATGGAGCAGAAACCTCACAGCTTAGTAGCTGTAGTTAGCTGGAACTGTCACTGTCTGTGATATTATATGTGACTGTTTCTGTAGCCCTCCCAGGGAGAAGAGAGAGCATGAGTAAGAATGGAAGAATTGATACGTCTGAAGCCACTCAAATCCTGTGAGTTCAGACAGCAACCTTCTGTTTGATCTGAGAAGTTTCGTTGTTGCTTTGGTTTGGGTTTTTGGGGTTGATTTTTTTTTTTTTTCTTATCCAGCCTTGGGCTTCCTGAGTTTCTGTTACAATGTCTCGTGTGGTTACTTCTTCCAGCCCATGGAGCTGTAAAGACTGCCAAATTTTAGCATTTTGGGAAGAAGCATTTTGTAGTGGTTAGAGAGGTGAGCAAAAGAGAAGGGAAGTAAATTTAAATATTGCTATTATTTTTCTAGTACTCTGACATGTGGGCATATTACATCATGGTTACAAAAGTGTCATTTTAAAGTATGACTAAGTGACTGAGGTTTAATGCAAAAGAAAGGATGAGGTGAGTAAAGAGAGAAGAGTTTTGACGCAAGATGAGGCAAGCCACATGTGAATTTCTTGTTGGTTTTAATTAAATAAAAAAAAGATAAGGGAGAGAAAAAGAAAAGCTTGGCATCTCGTCGCTGATTTTTCTCTTGGGGTAACACAGTCAGCTGTTTCATTCCCTGCACATGAGTGAAGCCCTGACACAGGACATGCGGGACTGCAGGCTGTGGTGCAGGACACTGCTGGCAAGACACTGCGATGGTGTCTTCTGCTGGACAGGGCTGTGAGGAGATGCTGAGTTCCCTTGTCCCCACCTGTGGTGTGACCAGCAATGCTGCTTTAGGATCTTACCAGGAAGCACTGGTCTGGCTGGTTACCCCTGTGAGGACATTGTCAGTCATGCAAACAGGTATGTAGGCTTTCCGTTGTGAAGAATCACACTTTTTTTTTTTTTTTTTTTTAATAAGCTGCTCTTTCCTCTGGGTAGCAAAGAGACAAAAAGCTCTAGGTGGAATAACAACCCGCAATGAGCTTTCCTCTGCCTCAGTTTTTTCACCATTCCTCAGTACTCTCTGTGTGACTCAGCCCTCTCTATGGAGAATCAACTTCTCTCCCCCACTTACAAGCCACCACAGAGATTTTACGTATCTTTTTCCCATACTCCACAACTGGCTGAAAACCTCTCATTGCCCACTTTCCTTTCGTCGTTGGAGATTCCTGTGATTCCCCCTTTGTCAGGTTGTTCTTGAGGAATGAAAGCCTGGTAGTCAGCTAATTTCCTGGGATGTTCAGCTTGGAAACCTGCACTGGCCAGGGGAGTAGTTGGCCCTTTGAGTCATCTGAATGACTGTTAAAACTAGACTGTGGGCTCTCCTGAGCGCTGTGCTGGGGCTGTGCATTTCTCCCGGCATTGCTATGGAGGTTTATGCCAACATAGCAGCAAAAAACTTCAGAAGAAGGCATCAGAGAGGGAGGTTTGTGTCTGAAACAACTGACACAGTTCACAAGCTACGTGTTCATGGTGGAGGTGTGGTGAACACGGTGCAATTCTCAGCCGTATGGCATCAACCAAAAAAAAAAACCAGATGCAAGCTGCCCAGTCTCAGCACAGGCTCCGAAGGACATGTTGACCGAGCGGCTCACTACCCTTCGGTTTCTCTGTGCTCCCTGCTAAAGTTTCTGCACACACGCTTGTGACATCTAATCTGCTTAGGATGCCAAGGAAAACCACGCCACAGAACTCCCCCTGACTGCCTCTTGTGCTAGACAGTGTCATTAGGAAGGCTTCTAAGCGCAGGTTGTAGCAGAAGGTATCCTGTGGGTCTTGTAATTTCTGTGCGTCTGTAACTTGTACTTTGTTAGCTCACCAGAAAGTCTGAGGAAAGAAACAAAAAAAAGCATGAGAAAACCTGACAATGGGTTTGGGACCTTGTGCTGAG